GCAGCCCCCGGCCCACCTGGCACAATGAACCCCCCGGGTTGGTGGCCGACAGAGGGGCCGAGGTACTGGGGAAGCCCCGGCAGGCACGGCCCCCCCTTGCACCTCTGTTTGGGGGGCCAAGGTGTGAGGCGGAGGCTGGAGCGGCCACCAATGGCCCTGGGGATGCTGGCAGGGAGGAAGAGGAGGAGGAGGAGTACCGGTTGCTCACCGTCACCCTCTCCAAGTTGAAGCACTCGCTAGGTGGGTGGCACATGGGTAGAACCCCAAGGGTGGGGTGGGGACCCTCCTCCTGGCACCAGCATCACTGGGACGTGTGGGAGACCCCCTTGGGAGGGGGAACCCCATTTAGGGGACAGGGGGTAAACCCCTGAGCACTGCCCCTACCTGCTCCTCCAAAACTAGATGGGGAGAAGAGGACCTGTGCCGTCTTCCCTGTAGGACCTCTCCAAAACAGGGCAGGAGAGAGGCACAGCTGCTGAGTGGGGGAGAGAATGGGGGGGGGACCCCACTGTGCCCAGGAGTGGGTAGGGGTCCCAGCCTACCTGGGTGCAAGGGTCTTGTGGTTTCCCTGCAGGGATCAGCATCTCTGGCGGCATTGAGTCGAGGGCACAGCCAGTGGTGAAGATCGAGAAGATCTTCCCCGGGGGAGCCGCCTTCCTCAGCGGTGTCCTCAAGGTACAGGGGGACCTCAGGGGCACCCACCCCACCCCAGGGGGTGTGCAGGCATCCAGGCATCCCCATCCCACAGTACCGCTGGGTGCTGGCAGCCCCCCTAGCACCCCAAAAGCAGCTGCACTTCACCCCGCTGCCTTCTCTTGCGGGGACCAGGCTGGGCAGGAGCTGGTGTCAGTGGACGGGGAGAGCCTGCAGAATGTCACCCACCAGCGGGCCGTGGACATCATCCGCCAGGCCTACCGCAACAAAGCCAAGGAGCCCATGGAGCTGGTTGTGCGGGTGGCCGGAGTCCCCCCGGAGTGATACTGCACCCCCGCTTCAAGGAGCTGCCCGTGATCTGGAGGAGCCCGATAGCTCATTCCTGCACCGAGCTGTGGCCAGTCTCAGCATAGGCAGAGGGCATGAGAACTGGAGCCGCCCCACAGGCACGGAGGAACTGCCTGCAGTGGCACCTGTTGGGAGGGCAACGCTGGTGAGGCAAGAGGGGGACAGGTGGCCCCCAACCCTGCTCTGGACAGACAGACGCAGCCCTGAAAAAAAACACAGCCAGGGGCTTGTTTTTAATGGGCATTTCTGGGTGGTACACGGGCAAGCCGGGCTCTGGGAATGGGACGCAACCGAAATAAAGTACAAAAATACCCCCCCGGAGCCGGGGGTGACCAAGCCAGAGCTGAGCACAGCCAGGCTTTTCCTTTGGTTTGAACCCCCTGGGTGCCCAGCTGGGCCCCCCACCTCTGCCACCCCCGGGGTGTCCCCGGCTGGCACTGCGCCCCTCTCCCCTGGCAGGCTGGGCATCACAGGGGCACGGGCCACGCTTTTTTTTGAGGGGGGCAACAGAGGGAAGCCAGGGGAGAGGGGATGGGAAAGGCACTGAGGGCAAGCTGCCCCACGGCAGGGGTGAGGAGGGCACAGACAGGTGGGGTATGAGCTGGGACAAGGTGATATGTTTTGGTAGGTCCTATAAAAATAGTTATTTAAAATGGCACAGAAATGAGTCCCCTGACAAACACACAGGGTGGGAGGGCACAGGGACAAGCTGGCACAGGGCAGGGACAGGGCACATGCCATCCCCTCTGGAAGTGGCTGGGTGACAGTGCCAGCAGGGATGAGAGGGAGGGGAAAAGCCAGCCCTCCCCCTGCCCAAGGTGACCCTGGCTGAAACCAGCAACGCTAATCCCCCGGGCTAAGAGGATCAGCGGGAACCAGCTCCAGGCAGCCCCGAGGCCGGGACTCGGCACCCACCTTGCCCCACATCTCACAGGCAATCCCCTGCTGGGGTGGGTGCCAACGCACCCTCACCCCAACACCTCCATGCTGGGGAGGGGGCAGCGCCTGCAGTCCTCTCTGCCCCCTCCCGGGGCCATTAGTCTCTGCAGAGCCGGGGGAGAGCAGGAATTCCCTGCAGCCCCACGGCTCCCCAAAATCCCAGGGGCTGGAGGCCCCCCTCCACCCTCTGAGCACAGGGTGAGGGCAGGCAGCGTCTCAG